GTGATTTTTCTGATTTTGTTTTCAAAATATTTGAACACTTGTATACTTTATTATTCCAAATACCAGAATGCATTTGCTGTTACACAGCTAAATAAAATAACTTACGTATTAAAAATATTGTATAAACGATAAGCAAAATTATTACAAATAAGAATTGATTTTCGTTTGAGAGAGAATTCTTTTTTAATTGGGATTTTTTTTTATAGTTTCCCTTCCTTTATTACAATGCTAATTGCTAGCTATGTTTGTTTTTTTGGGTTTTTTTGTTTTGTTTTGTTTTTTTTTCCGATTAACGAAACAATTTTTCTCTTATTTCATGTACACCATGCTTATGCAAAAGTCACCATATGTGGTGACAGATCGGTTTAATAAAGGTCACGTTGACCTTTCGGGTATACAGTGGTAAAAGGCCTTTAATTTTAATTTTAATGACTTCCAAAGAAAAAAAAATCTGTTCTTGTTAGTAAAATACACACACAAATGTAAAATTAGAATTTTTCATTGTTCTTCTTCGGATGTGATTTCCGTTTTAAACAAAATTTTTAATAAACAAATAAAATGCTTCATTCATCCTGACACCTTTTTTATCAACTATCTCGGGCTTTTTTTTTAACTAGGGGCACTGAATTGATTTTTTATTGCAATGGTAAACACATGGTGAAGCAATGATGTATATAAATGATATTCATCTCACGTAAAATCTATGAGAAATCAGATTTAAGTAGACATGCTTTCTTTGTAACAACACATAACGTGATGAGGCTGTGGCTCTATACTCCACAGGGAGCCTATAAGCTAACATATAATATTTCATACTCGTGCTCTCCTAACTGTTCTATTCCCTTTTAGATTCTTTCGATGAACTAATTTGCCAGCAGAAATTCCTATGAGGCCACCAAGATAAAAAAAAAGTTATCGACAGATCCGCGATTAACTTAAGTTATAAATTACAATTTCAAAATTGATATTGAATGGGAACATCTGTCGAATTGGTAAACAAAAATACTTTAATGCGTTAATATCGAGGAATAATATCGCTATGAAGTTAATGATTACCATTTTTGTTTCTAAAATCTATATAATGTAAACATATAATGAGTCCCCGCTATCTTTCAGTCTTTCACCGACCAGAAAAATCACTCCATGTTACGTCTCGATCCTCGTTCGTATCAGTGTGCACAAAAACTTGGAAAGTCCCGCTGTACGTTCACAAGGAAACGAAAGGCGAAAATATCACAACCATCAGAAATGAAAAGTGAATCCTGTTACCAATATATTTGGTTGTTTATTGAAGGATTTACCGTTTTTTTTTAAAGTAGGTGACACTTAGGTCATCTGCTACTTCAATACAAATTAACTGATCGGATTTTCCATTCAAACCAACGACAGCAACTACCTCTCTGCCTATTTCAGTATCACGACGCGCGGTTGGCAACTCTAATGAGCGGCATCGGAACTCTCTCTAACGGGTAGTCTGTATCGAAACTACCTCAACAGACATCTTGTATCCGCCAACGGATAGCCTGGAGCTCAATTCTTATTATAATTGTTTATATAAGCCTGCGAGCGGAACTTTATAACTTCCGTCCATGTGGTACTAGTTTCCGAAAGTTTTTTTTCATTTATTTATCTATTTATTTTATTCCCTTTTGGTAAGATTTTGAAGATTTTACTTGAGGATTGGATTTGACCTTGTCTCTTTTATGGAATATCCACGCGAATCTTGCCTGATAAGATGTTATTAATTTCTTTTTCGTATTTAAATATTCATTGACACAGGAATTAAACAACGATAGCGTACATAAATTATTTGATGCACTTGTTTGCACGAATTTGAAGATTCAGATAGCCTTTTAAAGGAAGCAGCTATCTGAAAGACCTATTATTTATTTCAGTTATAAGAATACAAATTCGAAAAAAGAAACTACAAAAATTGAAATATTGCTTTTTCATTTTCAAAATATTGTAAAGAAGACCATTGAATTCGAAAAACGTTTATGCTATGAATTTTTCTTTATATAAAAAAAAATTAAAATATAAAAAAAATTGCACGAATTTGCATATTCAAAATATTATCAGTTACTGCAATAATTTTTTATAAACATATGAAAAGTTTTCATAACTTTTAGATTTCTTCAGATCTTAAGATTTTCTTCCTTCGGAAAATGAAAGTGGTTCAGTTGTAATTAATCTTAAATCCGAATTTGAACAATGTTGAATATATTTGGCATTTGCAGAAAAAAAATCAATCTTTTGTTATGTCTAATCCATTTTACCCAGAAGTCTTCGTGGCAATGTAAATGTAAACAACTATTACCTGATGATTCAATGAGGAAGAAATATACGAATTTCATAAAATGTCTTGGTTCAAAATAGTGTCTATTAAAAATAAAACTCAAAAGATTGTGTTTTTTTTTTTCATTAACATTGCCTAATTTCTCTTTGAAACTGAAGATGATAAGATTCTCCCAATTATAAATAATATAAATAAAATTTCCTACTCATGGAAAAAAGATATCATACATAATGTAATGGGTTTAAAGATTTTAAGAAATTTTAAGAATTTCTCTTTCTTTTTCTCTCTCTCCTCTCCGTCTCTCTGTTTCTGTCTGTCTCTCTCTCTCTATATATATATATATATATATATATATATATATATATATATATATCAAAGTGAACATTGAAGTCAACACTCAGAAGCGACAGGCTGTTTCATACTAGACGCAATCGTTAGGCGGCCTGATGATTGCGTCCAGCAAGAAACAGCCTGTCGCTTCTGAGTGTTAACTTCAATGTTCACTTTTATATTTATATTTACATACGATCTATCTCTGATATTGAGCACTTTATCCCATAAATATAGCACACCTTAAAACTATATTTCTTCATATATATATATGTGTGTGTGTGTGTGTGTGTGTGTGTGTGTCGTGTCCTCCTCAGGACGTGGGTGATCAAAGGCTCTCCACAGCTTTTGAGCCTCTCATGTATGCTTTTTTTATGACCCCTTCTTTTCTCTTTATTTTACTTGTTTCTTCATCCTTTTGCTTAATTTTGTGAAGTAGGTTCCTTGATGCTTTCCTCTGCTTCTCTTGCCTTCGATGAATCTTATGGGTGTTAAATTCCCCAAGCCTTTTTTTCTCATCATGTGTTCTATTAAATATAAGGTATAATAAATAAAAAACATTGATAAAAAACGTTTTTGAGGCTTACAATAGCAAAGAAAATTGAAAAATTCTTATTAAATTTCAAATATTTATTTGTTTCTTTAAATAAAATATCAACATTGAGTTAAAAGTTGCCTATATTATTTTAAACCTTACAGTTTTTTATACCAATAAATGTATTTAGATAAATATATTTTCTTTCTTTTTTGCAGGTAGTGGTGAGCAGAGGGGTGAGCAGATTATAAGAACATATAATGTTATATAGTCTACAAGATTAGTTTTCAAATTTTATAGATTACATAATTATGACGTCTGGAATTTTATAGATTATATTGTCTGAAACTTTAAAATGGACGCAGAATAACATGAGAACCATAGGTTTTCTTTTAAAATAAATCAAAATAATTATTTGATATATTCACTTTTGTAATTTAATCAGCAAAATAAGTTGAAAATATTTCTTTGCATAGGGAATGTAAAAGAATATCAGGCAAGTGAAAGTTAACATCAAACTTTTGCTCGGAAAGTTCCAATTATTAATTTCATCTTTTCCTTTGCTTTAATTCCTTAAGTGATATTTATTTTGCTCAAATTTGAAACACTCAAAAGTCTGTTTAGTAATATTTTCAAGTTGAAAATTTGGCAATAAAAACGCGGATTAAATTTTATCATTTTGACTTTGAATTCTTTTGAGATCGTAATGATAAAAATAATAATTTCATAAGTAATAAAATTCAAAAAGGAAAAACGTAGTACCTTTAAGTTGGTGATACTTGTAATCACCTATATTTATGCTATATTTAAGGTATCTTAACGCACTATGCAATTTGCCAACAATCTTGATATCTTTTCATCATTTTCGGTTTATCTTTTTCGTTGCTAACCTCCAATGAGATCATTCCTTTTGAGAACAGAAAAGCATAGCAACGAAAAGGAACATTTTATTTATTTGTTCGTAACTTCACACCTCAAGAAACTTTGCCTATTTTTTCATTGAATCTATTTTCAATTTTCAAAACTTATCACAGTAATTTTAAAGAGTGTTGAATCGGCCTTCAAGTTCCCGTTTATTAAAAAAGAAAAAAGTGTTCAAAAAACAGAATTATACAGCAACTCACTACAGACGAGTTACTACTTTTCTTGCTAAATTCATGCAAAATTAACATCTCTGAAAAGATAATAGATTTTTCGGTTACATCGTGAATACTACACAAAATACATATAATATAGAACCGGCAATATAAGAAGACATTGAATGTCGTTGATGCCATCAGACACACGCTTTCATGCAAGATTTTATAGAAAAGATAAAAACGTGCCGACAAACCACCGACATTTTTTTGACAAATACTTGTACAATCAATGATCGAACGGTTTGTAGATCAATAACTGAAACTATTTAAAAATACTCATCGTTTTCAAACAGTAAACAAGGAAAAGATCTGAAGGCACACTGTATAAACACACTGCGTATACATGACATTATATTACACGTAGAAAACGTTAAACGTTTTAAAATATACATTGCAGTAAATAACGGTAAAAGAAATCCACAGTCAGTACAAATATACCAGACAATGCAATAAACGAAAGTACAAGGAAATGTACAATTAACACGCGTAAACATTCATGACAAGGCAGTAATGAATGATTGCGTGTCTTCTTAAATACATAATTCCGTACTTATTCAACAAAAAGACACGCAGATTGTACGAATAGTGACAAACTTATTACAAATTATACTCACTTAAGTAGAAATTTATCTAAACGATTCAAAAGCTTACCGATCAAATTGACACATCGGAGCTGATTACCATTTGACTGACATTAAAGTAAAAGTCACCCGGAGATGCCTTGCGATCCAGCGTTTGAGAATGCCGGCAAAGAAATCGGACTGGAAATCTGGAGAATTGAGGTAAGTTAATGTTGTTGTTTTATTAGTAGTAGTAGTAGTAGTATCTTATTATTTTGTTTTCTTTGTAGTAAAATACCTTATCGTGTCATTACTGGAGACCTGAGTAGTAAACATATTCGTTCTGTTTGCACAAATTCTAATGTTAAAAAGTGTTGTTAATGTGTACAGTGTTTATATTTTCTTTACATTGACAAACTTCCACTAAAGAGATGTGTAATTCTATACACAATAATAATTCCATACACATTTTTCTAAAATCTCTTGTAAACAGGAGTTACCAGGTTTCTTGATAATGTTCTTGTCTGTACTAGTGGTTCAATTATTATAACAGTAGTTTTAAAGTGCAACATTTTTTTTTTTTTCAATTTCAATTTAAAGATCCTTATATTTACTTATTTTTTGCTATTCTTTAAAAATATATTCTTATCTGATGGCACTACCATATCTATGAGAAAACATTTTTTTGTCTTTAAACACTATGTCTGGTCTATTAGTTTTTATGTGACTGTCAATATGAATGATGACACCCCAAAGAATAGTAATAGGGCTTCTAAGGTTTAAGACGATATTCAAACTATTTATTTCAACTACTCTCTCTAACATTTGTTTTTGTTTTGTTTTGTTTTTTTACTTTAGTTCACCCAATCAAAGTCGAGGCTTACTGAGTGAGGTTGTTGTAAGGGAGGAGGAAGGAATGCATATTATGACGATATGTAAGATAGATATTTGTTGATCCTGGACTTGAAGAGGTTAAAATTGCAGTGGTCAGGGGAACATACTCTCGGGAGCCTGTTCCACAAAGGAACAGTTCTGGGAAAGAAGCTGTCTGAGTGGAACTTCCTCCTTACTAAAGGAACACGTAAGGAATGTGAATGATTTGTCATGTTTATGGCAGGTCGTATCTTTGAAGGTCTGAGCTGGTGGAACTAAGGAATGTAAGTGGTTAGAATACTTGCCATAATAATAGGGATATAGTAGTGAGAGGCTAACAACGTTTTGTCTGAGGGATAAAGGGTTGGACGGTGGAGAATAATTCATCAACCACAAAGCTGTATAAACGCTTTTGAACGTTGTTTTTTTTTGTTTTGTTTTTTTTTTTTGTCAAGTGTGGATTGAGCAGCACCAGGGCAGATATGGTAGCAATACTCCATTCTTGGTCTGATGTGACTATTCTAAAGATAGAGCATGTCAGCAGGAGTTAGGTATTTTATTTTTTATGTTAATTTTCACCCAATACAAGACCCAGGAGCCACTTAATGTAGAGGTTTACTCTGTGGTGTTGTATGCTCGTGCAACACCACACAAAAGAGAAGATTAAGAAACGCAGTTCAAGAGTTTATGTAGGAAAGATAACGGTTAACTCTAGACTTCAAGTGATTGAGAAAATATCCTGTCGGGAGCCAGTTTCACAAAGCAGCAGTTCTCGGAGGGAAGCTGGCCAAGCGGACTTGAATTATTACTAATAGAATACGAAGGGAATTAGGATGATTCCTCCTTGTGTACGTGGCATGGCGGGTTCCAAATGCAAGGGTCAAGGTTGGTGGAATCAAGGAATGTAGCTCGTCAGAACACTTGCTATGGAAATAGCGAAGGGTAGCAAAAGGCTGACGACAATTAGTATGTAGGAAAGGGGTTGTGGGATAGAAAATATTTTTGTTCTGATTCATATTAAACGAAACCATTTTTTTTCATCCAAGGAGGCATAATGTTTTCATTCTTTGCTTTTTATCTCGTCAAACATCCTTGCAAGTGATATCAGACTTAATTGAACTCACGACTTCCAACTAACGAAACCAACGTTTCTCAGTCAAATAATTGTATTTAAAACAATTTTGTTTCAATAAAATGCATTCATTCTTAACTATAATATTTCTGAACTTAATGGGATATTATCATTTTAGATTAAAACTTTGAAAAGCGCAAAAGGTCAATATAAGGTGCTGAGTGATTTTTTTCTATGAATGTCTATAAAATAGGATCAATAATGTAGAAAATCTCACAATCGTATGGTATTGACAAAAGCATTTCATTCTTCTTTTTGATAAATAATTTAAACGGGTTTCAGAAGCCAAACTATTAAATGAAAGTGGCGTTTTAGTGATTACAGGATAAATTCCTGTCAAAAGACAATAATAAACGATATATCAGATTCAGATTCTTAAGTCAATTTTCTTCTAAATTGATTGTTTTTCTCAAAATCTGACGAAACGATGCAGGATCGGATTTAGGCCTTAAGAGCCTCCTGAGCTCATACAAGCGCACCCACACACGCATATATATATATATATATATATATATATATATATATATATATATATATGGGTGTGTGTGTGTGTATCTTCGTCCCCACCATTGTGTTTATAAAAAATATATATTTTTAGATTATGCAATTTTTTGTTGTAAAATATGAAACACTTCAACTAAAAATTTTAATGATTTTAGAACTCATCCAATTTCATTTATCCGAACCTTACATCCTACAGAAGTGTATCTAGAATGAAGGGCCTGTATTACATTCGCTAGCAAAGCATCCTAAGGAGTATTTAGTTTTATCAGGGCCTCAAAACTAGAGTGCCCTTGGGTTGCAGCTCATACTAGCCCATATGTAAATCCGGCACTGAATCGATGTTTGAGTTGAGGTTTTAATTTCTAATGCTACTTAATAGACCAAACCAACTCTCTCTCTCTCTCTCTCTCTCTCTCTCTCTCTCTCTCTCTCTCTCTCTCTCCATATATATATAAAACGCATGGATAAAAAAAATATTACTTTTTACCCATTCTGAAGGATTATATCTATTAAAGCAATGAACATAAATGTTAACGACTTTTTTAAAAGTCACTCATTTTATTTCTTTTTTCATTATTTAAATATACACAAATACATACACACGCAACTCATTTTTCGCTTCCGATTTGATGAAGCCTAAACAGCGAAACAGTGAATTGAAAGTTTTTGCAGAAGAAGAGTGGGCTAAAATTCCAACCAAATCATGCCAGGCGCTTGTAGAGAGCTACAGGAACAGACTGAGAGCTGTGGTTGCAAATGAAGGACGACCAACTAAATATTAAACACATTTAAAGCATAATTTATATTCTGTCCAAATACTTTTTTCAGTACCTGTTTTAATAATTTGTATATAAAATATATATACGTGTCAAATAATTTAGTTTTGCTGTTTATTTGCATTTGTAATTGTTTTACGAATATATTGTGAGCTTTAGATAATGCTTTTCTTTCAATATATGATTCTAAATCCATTTTTTACTGTCCAAATACTTGTTTCACCTCACTGTATATATATATATATATATATATATATATATATATATATATTAACAAGCCTAAAAGGACGAAAAGTATAGCAACAAACGAACTTCACTCAAGCAAAATAACTGAAATTTATATGATAACAACCAATATGTGTATGCAACTCTCGTTACGCCACTGTATGCAAGGATATTCCCGTTGCAAACCAACAGCTCATATATTTGTAAGAAACGTTTTCATTTGCGTTTGTCTTTATTCAAGATATGGATTTGGTTCAGTGAGTTAATTTAGTTTTCCGAATGCAATATTTTTTTGTCCCCCACCAAACATATCAATAAACCAACACATGCAAATATGAATTATGTAAATATTAGTCCATTCTCCAATCAGCTGTTACATACATATTTTGAACCTGTGTTTAAACCACCGACTGTCTTTCCGTGGCCTACTTGTGGACACACCTAATGGAAACATTAGTAGCGAGTTCGCGTTGACGTTTTCGATTTTTAGAATCCACACATTCACCAACCTGTTAGATGAAGGTGTGCTGAAAGGTTTTCGAGTCGAATAACAAGCCCACCCTAAAAAAATCTCTGATGTCAGATCTAGGAATTGTTTGAATCGACAAATTTACTTACCCAATAAATATTTGTTGTCTAAAATAAATGCTCTGTTCATCTTGACGGATTTACTTACACACAGACACACAGACACACACACGCAGAGACACACAGACACGCATATATCGAAAAGAGATAATTTTTCAACTTTATGACTTCATGTAATGAATTTATGTAAGTGTTGTGAGTAAGTCATTTATATGTGCTTACACGTACCGCACATACACACAATTTCACTGAGTTTAAAATAAGACATTGGAATAATATTTTCCAAACCCTCCTCAGTCTGGACAACCTCTAACGATGGCTAAACAAGAAAATCACAAATTTGGAGACAAAAAAAAATGCTAAATTTAAAATCTTAAAACAGGATAATTATAAGATTATACGGTAATAAATAGAATCATTTTTAAAAAGTTTTTTTTCTTTTGTTGTTGTTTAAATCTTACAACTATTTTTGACATTAAAATATGCATGCGCGCATGAAAACAAACATTTCAGTTCGGCGGATGACCTCAAAGTCTCCGCCCTTAACCAGATCCCTGAGTTACAAAAGTCAAACTGTCCTTCGAAATGCTGTCATTTCTGATGAATAAAACCATGGCGATATTCTACACATACAACTTTGTCTTTTATTTCATAAGAAATTCAACTTTTATTTATTAGATACTCTCATATATATATATATATATATATATATATATATATATATATATATATATATATATATATATAATACTAGACTTCCCTCTTTTTCGGTGTATGAGGATACAGCAACTCAGTTCTTAGAACTAAACAGTCAGATGACTCATACATATGCTTCTGATTATAGTGGTGAAAGTTTCTGTAGAAGAAATCACTACACTTTTTGAAGTGCCGAATATAAAGAACTTGTGCACATAGTTCTCCGATTCTGCAATTAAGTAATCAATCAATCAATCAATATATATATATATATATATATATATATATATATATATATATATATTGTTAAATTCACCCGACAAGTTTGTCTCTTCAGACCTGAAGATTGCGTTGAAGCAAACTGTCGCCGCTTAATGTTAACCTCAGTGTCCTTTTTTACATTTACATACACTCTTTATATTCCACAC